TTATCTTTGCCCATAAAGTCATTTTCTTCCTTAAACACTGAATATTCTCTGGTTTGAGACTTAGTGTGTGTGCATTTCTGCAATATTATGCATATCAAATCACAGCTATGGACATTAGGGACAAACTGAGTCTCAATTTTAGGTGCTTTGGGGTGCCAAACTTTGGACACCTTTAAGAAATCTGATTTTCAGAGAGCAAGCACTTAAAACTTCTCTCAAAACAATGTCTGCCTAAAATTGCATGCCCAACCTAATGGTCACTTCTGAAGTCTCCTTAGCGTACCCGGTGCTATCCCAGCAGACCAGTCCCCCCCAGACAGAGCGCCCTACACTCAGAGATTGTTTTGTCACTGCTCTTATTTAACATGATTTGTTCACTGGGGCTCAGTGCAATGAAACCCAGTAAATAATACATTGAACAAACAGAGAAGATAACAAAAGGAAATAGTTAAGGTACTATAATAATTTTAGCCATTCTTTTTTCAGGTCACTATAATCTGCCCAAAGATAACTAATTGTTCAAAGTAAACATTCCACTCCAACCACAAAAGGAATCCATTACACAAACATATAATTCACAGTCATTTTTAGTGGGTTGTAAACAGTTTGGAATGAGCATAAAATGGGACAAAAATCAAAGTGAGCATTTAGAAATGAAAAAGTGTTTGCTACAAAAGGTCAGTCCCTTTACTTGGCAAACTATGTAGAAAAGCCTGGGAAAATGTTGAACACACAAGCAGTAAGGGAATTTTAAAGCCAACAACCTCCCTGTTTCTTTAAACAGACATCGGAACCTATAACTGGATCCTGTCAAACAAACGACAGCAAAAAAACATAACAGCTGCTAAGAAGTAAAGTTGAAAGATAAAGTTTTCTAAGCTAAGAACCTTCTCAGAAGTGGACTAAAGGTCTTTCTTAAATCTTTAAGCAAGGTTATGGATCCCAGGGTGGCTTTTAGGCACTGAATCAAATATGTAATTTTGTGTATCATTCCTGTCAGAGCATCCTGTGCTCCAAGAAAAGCAACAGAAAACAATGTCTGCAATGTCCAGTTTAGAATGGAAACGGTACCTGTAATCATCAGCTTTGCCGCCTGCAATGTCATTTTTAAGTCATTTAGGTTGATTTGAGAACACTAACTTGGATTTGGGAATGGAGGGAGAAAATGAAGGACATTTCAAAAGAGACATGAAAGTTAAACTACATTTCCCTGGAGCATTAGTACTGCATTTCTTTACAAAACTGAAACTACACTGGATACCCTCGATAGGTTTAGGGTACTGACTGCTGAGGGTGTTCATTTACTCTGTCATTAGCCACACAGACAAATGATCATCCCTGGAAAAGAGTTTAGTATCAGCCTGTTTTCACACGATTACTATGAGAAGTACGGGATGGCATTTTGTTTAGGTACAATGAAGACCGATATTTTTATTTTTTTTATGCGTTCTATTCATGCCTTTCACATACTTAAAAAAAAAAAAAAAAGTAAAAAACAGCCAGCAGTTTTAAAGGGTCGTGGATAACAAAATAAATAGGCGACTCGAGAAATGACTGGAAATAATATCTGACCTAGAAACACCAAAAAATCTTGCAATGGGCCCCACCCTTGGCAGGAGTGCTCAGCATGTGAGTTATAGTAGACTGGGAGGATTGTCCCAGGCTTTCCCTGCTGCTCCGCTGTGCTCAGGGTCAGGGCTACTTATCAGACACTTTCTGAGGACAAGAAAAATCATGGAATACAGATTGAAAAAGGCAACTCAGCAGGTAGTCCCAGAAAAGCCTGAGGTACATTCAAGGTAGATATTGATGGCAAAGGAAAAGACTACACAGAAAAAAACAAGGAATACATGTATCCATTAAAATCTTTCCCACCAAGTCAATGAGAAAGTGAAAAGTTGGAAATATTTGAGTAGCCACTATATCTCCTTAGTCTGATGACTGCATGGTTCAAAATTCTTCGCTTATCTTCACCAGGTCACATCATATACGTGAAAGTTTTTTCTATTTGGGATATTGCATTAGGTACTAAGGGAGCAATTATTTTTGCCAAGATAGAATTCACTTCAGTGGCACAGGGCTGTATAGCTAAATACTCAGAATGAGTAGTTCATCAAAAATTATGGCTGAATAAATAATACAGGAAGAATGGAGAAAAAAACCTGAGCTTGCTTAAAAAAAAAAAAAGAATTAATGTGACAATTGCCTTGTAAGTTTACAAGAATGGGTACATTTTTATTGACCCTCCTTATTAAACTCTACTACCATCTCTGCAAGATGGCTGAGTAAATATAGAAAGAGCCTCCCAGTTCTATTTCAATAACTACAAATAGCTAAAAAGGCTGGAAAAAACTGAATTCACTTTTGAATGAAGGAATCCATGTCAGACAGATAAACACGCATTATGTTGTGAGAATTTTTAGGCTAAACCTCATAAAGCACCTCTGTCCGGAAATGGTAAAGAAGCAAACAGTAGCCTAGGGGATAAATAGCCAAAATCTGATCTAAGTTGCAGCAAATTAATTTCAGAATAATTCCTTTGATTTCAATGTAGATACTCATTTTAAAATAGTGTAGCTAAACAGGAAATCTTGCCAACAGTTAATGACACCCTCTACATTTTTAATCTGTGGGAGAATATTACTACAGTTGGCTATTGTATGTAACCTCGTCTACACAGAAAAATGTACTAATTAATGTGGTTTATTCTAGTAAAGTTTCTGTGCAGATAAATGGTTCAAAAATAATAAAATAATAGAAAAATCGATAGGTAAATAAGCGTTATATCCCTGAGTTGTTAAATAAGAACAGAACCGTTCAGCAAAGCATGACTGTTTTGTAAGTAACATTTAGTGTTAGTCTCCTAAGGTCTCTTTTCCTAATAATCCTTTATCTTATATGAAGCACGCAAGAAGCATTTTTGGTACAGTTACAGTATGTAGATGATATATTTTCTAAATAGGAAAAAAAAGCTTTTCTACAACAGCCAATATGCCAGCTGTACTGAGTATCTAGGCCATCTTACTAAGACTATGAAAGTAAACATACAGTTTTCATTAAATGTGCCTTTCCCATAATTGGTACATAAGTATTTCCCATGACTCTGCAGTTGAGTATCTTGGCTGGAGGCATATCTGGCCATTAAGAGGAGGGCTTCAGATCTGTTGAGACTCAGCCATGCCGGGAGACTTGGCACCTCCACATACTGCTTCCTAATACCAACCCCAGTATAAAATGTCATCAGAAGCTTGCATAAACATTGAACTTAGCTTCACATAAATTACTGCTGTCCTGAGATAGTTTATGCCAGAACTTAGTAAAAACAACATTTTGAGTAAATAGAATGTGAGTAAATGCAAGCATCTTAATCCAAGAAAATGATAGTAGAAAAACTGTATATCAAATATAAACTCATAAATACAATCATAAAATGAATTTATCTCATGCCGTATGATTAGCTTTTATTTACGTATTAGACTGACTACAAGGGGTAGACTTCTCTGAGTCACAGCAAGTTTGAAGGAAACACAAGAACAATAACACAAAACTCTGAAGGATGAACTCCTTTGAAGAAGCAGTGATATTTTCATTTTCTTCCATGAGCATTTCTCTGATAAACGCACAGACAATAAGCATCTAATTAGGTTCCTTGGATTTTTCTATTACAGTTCAGCAGTGTAGAGACCTCTGGCCTCACTTCTCCTCAAGGAGTGGTCAGATACCACAAAACATACATGAACTGTCTGGTGCATCTTTTGGAGAACCTGTGCTAAGATCGTAACTGAACAGTCAATTAGACATGTTCTGAATGGCGTGGCATTTTTACAGTCTCATCTCTGCCTTTCCTTTCCATGTTCTGAATTTCTACTCACAATTCATCCTCTATTAATAGTCACTTCATGCATTTCTCCCCTTTCTTTGTCTCTTTCTTTATCCAGACTCCAGTCTCCTCCAAAAAAACCAATGCTACTATCTCCCCCTACTGAACGATCTCCAGTTTGTTAGTCTCTGAATTCCTGCCAATCATTCTGGGAATAATAATATCCCAGTGCACTCTTTGCTATACAATTAAAGCATGAATTTCCAAGAGTTTGAAACTCCAGGGTAGTTTTATTGCACCTTTCACTATAAAATCAGGTAACAAAGATGGAATTAAAGTAGCTTTTCCCTTTGTGGTTAACGGTCTAAGTATCTTTTTATTTTTCATTGGTTCTCTTGTTCTGAGACTCCAATATATGATTGGAGTGACAATGGGTTCACCCAGCCTTATTCTGAAAATAAATTTTCTATCTTTTGCAAGATATATGTTTCCCCAGATCCCTGGAACAAGTTGTAAACTTGTAACAGATGGTGATGAAGCCTCACATTTTTATACAATACATTTTAAGATTCTGCATCTACCGCATGTACCTTCCAAAGAAAATGACCTTCAATGAGAGAAGATACACTCTGCAGAAAGGAAGGCAGGCAACGGTGTTAAGCATATCTTTTTATACCATGAATAATCTTATTAAATTAATCAAAACTTTTAATGAGGATGAATACTCATTCCAATATTCTTAAACAATTATGGCTTTTAAAAATAACTGTAAAAATCAGACACCTGCATACATTAAAAAAATAAAAATGGTCACACTAGAATAACATTATTTTGGTTGAAGACAATTTAGAACCTAGGAATAAGTATTGACATTATGATCACCAGAGATTTTAGAATGAAAGTTACTGACATTTTATTGATGTTTAGCATTTAGTTAACCAAAGAAAGACTGAAACAACAACATGTCAAGCAAAATATAGGGAATAATCAGCATGAATGGGTTCTATTAGTGTCTTATCATAAAAAGAAAATAAAGATACAGAATGTGATATAATTCAGTTCATAATTGTATCATAAATTGAACTGCCTACCTACACTGGCAATTCAAGCAGAGTTACAAGATTAAAGTTTTGTTTGCTAATAGAAGAAAAAAAAAAGTGTTAAATACTTAGGTACTCACCTCTTTTTTCAACAGCTTTTATACACAGTCTTACAAACTGAGGGACTGTAGATTTCTCATGCTCACAAACCAAGTGCAAATGGGAGCCAAAAATTTGATCTACATTTGGAGAAAAAGAGCAAAATATATTAAAGAATATTGTTTGTGGTGGGATTTTTCTCTCTTCTGAGTTTGGATGTTAATTAAAACCACAGCTATCGAAGATGGACACACAAAGTTCGAACCAAATCCTTTTCAAATCCTAGTGGTCATTAGCCACAAAACCAAGCCTCTTAATGTCTGCTGCTCACAACCCTTGGAGATACTTCCCCCTGGGTTCCAGTTTCAGTTGCCATTTATACCTCAACCTTGTCCTTTGTAAGTCTTGGAGGTCTCTGGAATTTGTTTGGACCTGCTGGAAAAAAAGTGAAGGCAATTCTAGAGATTCAGATCCATATCTTGTTGAAGCCAAAATCCTGCATTATATTAACTGATTATCCAACCATATTGTCAGGTAGCCCGACTCTTCCACACATAACAAATTTCATTCTTGTCATGAAGCACCATGAGGGTTCAAGCACTCCATTACTTTGCATAATTAGGACTTAGTGCATCTTCATCTGATCTCTACAGAATGTTTTTTAGTGTCAAATTACCTTTTTAAAAAATAGAAGGTTCTAGATATCTTTTGATGAGGATTGCACATCTGACACCAATTTTAATTTGTGATTTGTGTTGTTTCCTTGATGAATACGAATTTGGCTAGATAATGCTACTTTTTTGGTTTTCTGTATTCAAATTTTTTTCCAACTTTGGATGTTGATCTTAAAACATATTTGTATAAACAGGTTAAACCCCTCAGATTACTAATTAGCTTTCTCCACCTCATTTCCACTCTGTATGTTTGAGAAATTATGATAAGAGCAATCAGTTATAGGGATGTTGTCAACTAGAATCAAAATGAATCAAGCAGATGAGAGAAACTACTCAATAGGATCCAGCTAAATGCTCAAATAATAGGAGCGTACGATCATCATTTACCCAAAGAGACAGTCTCCATATAGCATTTCAACAGAGCTCGACATTTCTGTTGAAACTGGCATAGAGGCTTTGAAAATTTTTGTATAGATAGCTGATGGGTGTTAGCACAAGCCTGGGCTCTGCAGAGCAAACCCGACAAGCGTGCTCATTCGCAGAACAGCAAAAGCTCCTGCTGCCCTCTATAGCTCCCTTGGCATGGGACATTTCCTCAGAAGTCAGTCCCATCATCCTCCAGCATAATCTTCCCCCAGGTAGCGCACCTTTTTCTCGCTAACAGGCCAAAAGCCACTTGATTTTCTGCTTTGCAAAGAGCTTCACCTTCCTGTTGTTAATCACTACCATTTCTTACAAAGCTTGGATTTCAAGAGCAACTTGATTGCCTTTTCTTTCCTAATATCCCATAGTAGGGAACAATCTGGGAAACAAGGTGAGGTGCATGGGACGGTTGGGCAGGAGCATTGAACTTTTTCATATGTATCAGGGAAGTTTATTCCAGCATCTCCCAATGCATGTGATCTGCATTCCGGTAGAGTACATCAAAGCCTGAATTTAAGTTAGTCAGAGTTTTGGCTGCAGAAGGGATGGAGGACTGGGTTCACAGAACTACACTGAAGAAGGTTGTGTGCATGTGTGGCGTTAAGCATTAGCGAACAGTCTGTTACATGTTTTGGGGTTATGTTTCTGACAAAGCACAGTCTGGTTACATTTTCATCATAAAACATTTATAGCTGCCTTCAGTGGTAATTATATATACAGAGATTTATGATTAAAATGTACTAGCACTTCCTCTTTTGACATCTTAATTGTTTTTCAAAATTTTAGAAAAGACCTGTCAAATTCTTTGTATAATATGGAATGTTCTCCAATGTAAATTATGTTAAAAAGAAGTAAAAATGTATCTTATTTGTTGGACAAAGACATTTGTAAACAATTTCAGAAGCAAAACAGGCAAAGAACTGCACTGTGCTTCGATGGTAATATTTGAAGAACGGAAACAAAATTAATGCATGTGTGTTCAGCAACTGCTCTTCTCTATTATAATCACTTCATAACCAACTTCCAGGATTATTTTGCAGTTACTCTTTCAATCCCCAGTATGAATGCAGATTATTTGGTATTCCTGGGAGGAAATTTTTAAAAGCCTGGAAACTGTTACACAGTTCTCACCTAGTCTATTACTTCTTTTCTGGGTGTACATTCTGTATCTTCTCCAGCAAAATGTTTAACCTTATTTTGTGAACTGTTCAGTACATGATATAATCACATTCTGTATCCTACAGTTAAGCTTTAAAACACCTTTTCTTTGGAAAACAGGTCCTCAGGGTTTTTTATCTTGAATAGAAAGGGCAGCAAATCAGCATTAATTGTTGCCGGGTGAAAAAAGACACTATAGTAAAACAATGCCACACAACTGCTTTGGATTTTTTCCCCTTTCTAGAAATTCATGAATGTTTATAAGGACATGATCTCATGAGTCATCCAAATACCCTGAATTCTGGATAATCCTCAGTTGCAAACTCCATGACTCTGTCTAGTCAACTGATTTTTTGCTGGACCTGTTCCTGTACATAAACATGGCAATGGCAGTAGTTACGCTGCCATATTTACATTCTTAGTAGTCACAGGGATAGTTGAGGAAAACTCAGTTAAGGTTTCTTTGTGCAGTATTTTGAAAACAAGGAATTACAGGAATGGCAAATTAGTAACTTTTTTAAACTAGGTTTATGTTCAACTAAGATTAAAATATCATTTTCTTATTCTTTTATTGAAGTATATATACATATATACATATTAAAACTAGTTTAAGAGGAAACTATCCAGAACATTTAAAAAAAAAAAAAAAGAACCAAAAAGAACTGCTCCCAAAGGGATAAAAGAAGCAAGAAAGCCTTTGTTTGATTTATTTGTGATAAGGCCCTTCAAAACTTCATTTTTTATGACTTGAAAAAAAAAGATGTACACAACACTCCTAACCTCCTATTATGACAGTTTATGTTTCCTATCCAGCTTATTTAACTCAAATGCCTGGGAAATAGACACAATTACCACCTTATGGAATGCTACTTAACTTTAAATGCTCCCCTCTGAATAGAAATCCACTTTATCTTCTCAGAGTTATTCCAGTTTCTCAGGAATTATTTCCTCTATAGGCTCCTGAAATGCTCTTGTTTCATCATTTAAAAATTTAAACTAACAATTGTTCAAAAATATCTTTTATTAGAACAAAGGCAATTCCCATACAGTGGATTCTGTTCACAAGAGCTTGTACAAAGGAGCTGCATACTATGCCCATATACAGCTTTAATCATTCACTCTTTCAGCTGTTATCAATTTAAAACCAATGAAACTCCCACACTGAGTCCATTTGAGCAGTCAATTTTAATATCTTGGGGCATCTGTAGTTATTCTGAATTGGCTGCAAAAGCAGAACTAACAAGTTAAGCTCTAACCATAAGTCTACATCAGGCTGGTAAACCATACATCAAACACGGACAGTTAGTCAATACTGTAGTATGAAAAACCAACAAGCATTTTTAAGAAGAGCAATATATTCATAATATGTTTGGTGGTATGGTTTACATTACATATCCCTGATATCTGTGCATTAAACTTTCTATTTAAGATGGTGGGGGGTGTGACAGCTTTGCACATGGATATAAAATGAGACACAGGAAGAGGAGGGAATGGACATTCACAAGTTGTATAATATAAAATGATCATTACAGCTGCAATGAATTGCCCATTCTGGTGAGCTTCAAGTTTTCCCTGAGCCTGACAGAGCTACTTTTTTTGAGTAGCTCTTGCAGGCTGCAGCAAAGCCACTAATTCTGAGCTGCAGAAACCTAGTCTATGGGAGACAATACTTCTGGAAAAGAAACAATTAAAACAAAATCACTAAAGCCACATCCTCACTGAGAATGTCATTGTTTAACTGTTTTTGTTGTACATGGATGAGACGTGGCCACACTTGGAAGGAACTTATACCTCAGTGTTTTTTATTAAAAAAACACAACCAACCAACCAAAAAAAAAACCCCAAGAAAAAAACCAAGGAAAAACATGGCTAATATTCTCATTTCTTGGAGAAAATCTCAAAGTTTGACATGAAAGGAAAAGGTATAGTGGTGTAAAGCCCAATTTTTTTAGAAACATGACTTATGTCTATGTAACCCAGTGCCTTCCAGGAGCAGAGTTAACTCTGATACATCTGGATTTGAACTGCTGAACTACCAGAGCTTTGTATCAACACCTAAGTTGTTTGTTTTCTTTCTGTCTGTTTGAACATCCAGAGGGAAAAAATGGAAAAAGAAGGAAAAGGCAAAATGAGAGAGGAATGTACAGAGAGGGGGAGAGAACAGTGGGCACCACAGTGAATTTTTGGGGGGGGGCAAGAAAAGTGGTTGGAAAGTGCCATACTCTGAAAGGTGATGACTTCTAGCTGCTCAATCTGTAGCGCTGAAATATTAAGTCAGACATTAAAATGATGCTGATCCCAGACTGGGGCTCCAAATAATGCCACGACGCTTTTACAATAAGTGGGGCAGGTCCTCAGCTGACTGAGGTCAGCGAGGTTGTCAATGGAGCTCCCCTGATTTATGGTAGCTGGGAATCTTGCCAGTCCTTTTAACTTGGAGATTTACTATATATCGTTGATCTGTGTGGTCATCAATTTAAAAAAAAATAAAACATTTGTGAACAGTTACTATTAAGTAACATATGAGCCACCAGATTTGTTTCACTTCCTCAGAAAAAGGGAAAATAAGGAGTATTGCAGACACAGGTCTCTTTTAAGAAATAACGGTGTTTTACTGTGGACAAGAGTTCATTTAAACTCAAAGAGGGTGAGTCTGCCTTACTCCTCAAAACAGATCTCCAAAAATAAGATATTTTAAAATTATCTGAATTATTTCTGACCATCATTTCAAAGAAACCACACACACCCCACACCCCCCACCCAAAAAAAACCCCCAAAACCAAAAGAAACACCACTCTGTCCAGTGCTTGGCCATCCACAGGGTTGGGAAACGTCTTTCCAGAAGTCCATGCAGTAGTTAAAGTAAGAAAGAAATACCCTTGTGACCCACTGTCCTTGCAAGTCAAAGGAAACAAATCCTAACTTTCCCTATGGTATTATGGGCACCAGATCACTTCCTAAATTGCTGCATAATCCAAAGGAACTACAGAATACACCATAGGTAGGTCTTAATGTACTCTTTTGGATTTCTCACGAGTGTTACACTCATTACATTGAACCACTGCAAGGTCCGTTGAGATATATGAGACAATAAAGACGTTTTCCCTTGTCTGGAAATGAAATGGTTGGTGATCTCTGCACTGCTATCTGCACAACCACCACCATATGCTGAGCCCTGTTCTATAGGCTATCAAGCCAAATCACAGCTAGTTCCTTTCACTAGCAATTGAGTGGCTTTTATTTTCATCTTGAAACAGTTGTAACCATTCCAATTTTTGTGCTGTTTTGGTTTTTGCGTTAACTTACAAAATAAATGCAATGAAGTTCCTTCAGTGTCTAGCTTCTGGGGAAAAAAAAACCAACCCCTCACCCCCCAAAAATATATTAATTTCTTGCCAACTGAATTTCCCTCATTTCCCACAGTGTCATTTATGTTAAGCTGTTACTCATGATTTTTTTACCATTTACTGAAAGTGTATTTTGTGGTAGCCTATTACCAACACAACCCCATAGCTTTAAAAGTTTAGTTTCACAGAAACATTATTTCTTTTTTTTTTTTTTTTTTATCTAGACCAGAAGGGCTTGGAAATCAGTAAGTCAGCAGGCCAAATCAAGTTGAAGGTTGGCAATTCATTTTGGATAATATTAAATCATGACAAAGCTCAAACACAAAGATCAAAGTTCAATTATAGTCTATAAAGTAGTTTTAGAAGAGAAGATTTATATATTATTTTTCTAGCATATTAGTGCAGATTCTGTAAATTCTGAGAATATTTCAGTACTGAGGAACTGAGGACCCCTGCCCTAGTATATAAATTTGAACACAGTTATTCTTGAAATAACACTGTTAAAACGGCAGACATGGAACGTGCCTCTTTACTATTTTCAGGTTTGCCTGCATGTGTGTACATTTATGAACATTAAAGGTGCATATAGAGACATACATATTACATAAAAATACTGTATAACACATCATCTCAACAGTGATTCAGAATACTTCAAGACCAAAGATATTTTGTGTAATCGTGAGTGAGATGGAAGAAGGACTGGCGATCTTCATCAGAGCTCTCGCTGGAGCATGAAAAGCTCCAGTCACTAGCCCATCAAATGAATGGAGTCAATGTGCTGTTCCCATTCTGGCTTCTTTTATGCAAAGGACTAGAAAGCAAATGGGACAGTGATGACAAAAATAACTTTTTGTCATGTAAAACATTGGCACATCTTCATTTTCAGATCAACACGCAACTAATATTTACGTGTTGGTCTACTGCATTCCCTCATCTGATTATTATCATCCTACATCTTATGATTCTCATTTGTTAACTACTTACTTTATTTACTACGTGGATCTTTGTTACTTCCTACATAAAGAAAGTTTTGTTAAGAGTTAAATGACAATCACATAATTTCCAGATATTCTGATAACACTGTTGGCAGAACAAAGTACCCCAGGAGATCAAACTGCTATTTAATTTTGAAGCCTGTATTCCCAAATTTGGTTAATGCGGAGAAATGTGTCGAGTCTTCTGGCCAAGTGTGTACACATCAGTGACTAACAGAGCACAGAACTGTGTTTAAGTGAACTTACCACCTTAAAATGTATTTACTCATGACTATAATTTACGTGTTAAATTTATTGGAGTTTTGGTTCCAATGTGACATACAATGTAAAAAATCAATATAGATTTGAGAGCTTTATAGTGCCCCTGGCAAATATGAATAGCACTTGATGAAAAGTGAAGGTTTTCACAGTACCTACAGTGCCACTGCATTGGAGTAATTAACACCACACGTTTCACAGATATTTGTATCAATTCTTCACTAGCACACAGAACAGTCCTTTGTCAGAAATGCGGTACCGAGATGTCCTGCAAGGCTTTAGACACACTTTTATTACAAGCTCCTATTTTAAGGGATTTACAATTCTGACAGAAGTATTTCCCTATGGGATAAAAGTTAGTATGCATGTTCTCAGAGCTGAAGGAATTTTTTCTTGTAAAAATTGGTTAACATTTTTTCCCTTAAGAAGCGAGCAAATAAATAGTTTTGAAAGGCTTCTGCAACCATTTAAGTCACCTTTAGAAAAATAAATAGATGCATCTTATAATACAAAATTTGGCAAGCTTTTCATTTTTAATCTGGATGGCTGCATTTTGTGATTTAAAAATATTCTAATGTGAGCCTAAAAATTAACATTTAAAAGTGGTCTCCGTATAAGCAGTGCAACTGCATTTTCATAACATTTTAACAGATTAAGGGATAAACTCTGGTGAATACAATGAAGGAACCTTATCAAATGAGCATTTCACATAGACTTACCGTAGATTGGAATTAAGCCGTGCTAACGAATCCTGCCTCATTTGCATGGCCAAAACCTAATCCTAATGAAACTTCATGGTAGATAACCAACATGTTTTCTTCATGGCAACACTGGTTTGGTAATAAAGCTGTGCCAGGTACCGATTCTGAATTACTATGTCACTAATCATGCATCTTCCTTATCCATGGAAGCCGGTCCCAGGTAGAACCGGGCTATGTTTGTGAATCAAGAGCTTAATGCAACTGTAGCCAAAACCAATTGGCCTGGCTTTCCTAGAGAGATATATTAGAGGATGGATTTGAGTTATGCTAATGAATCTGGATTTGTTAGCAGGGATCACATCTGATCCCTATGTAACACCGCAGGAGGTTCATCAGCTACACTTTATTAAACTAAAAAAAAACCCTCTCAAATCCAGAAATTAAAAGACTATAAATTGCTACTCTATTACTGTAATAACAGAAACAAACTAATATGATGCATTCAAAACCCATCCTCAATCCACAGAGTACTTCGAAGAGGCAAAACCCTCCGATCTATTGAAACCAGGTACTATGAATGTGTAAGGAAGATCCTGAAAGTTTGGTGAGCGTGTGTGTCTGCACACCTCACACACATATATTTATGTATAAATGACTTTTTTAAAATTTTATTTTAGAAGCAGAAGGCCATCGTTAAGGAACATAATGATTTCATATAATGAAGACTTCCTTACAGCAAACAACATTGCGTTGAACATTTCTGCATGTATCTAAAACATAAGAACTTAATTCATAAAATCTTCTCCTTCTCGTCAGACATAGGCCCAGCTGGTGTTTAACTCTTGTGGTTGATTTAGCTTTTTCTGGCTGGGGTCAACCTCTTGGCTCAGGACAGACAAGTTTAATACACACTAGCAACACCCCTCACCATTTTTGACACACCACTGGAAAACTCACACTCCAGAGATTGACAGGGGCTGCTGGCAAAATGCCTCTTTCTAGTCAATTTACATGTGCAGTTGTGGGTTTCACACATAATAATTTGGGAGTGCCTAAATTTTTAAAGCATTATTGCAGACAATATTTGAAAACATGGCTTTGCTTGATTATTAGTGGTCAGACTGCTACTGCCTTCAAGTTAACTACCAGCTTCTTAACAAAACACTCCTTGGATAAACTAACAAATGTATTTTATGAAAGAAACAACTTTCTTCAGGATATGTGAAAGTGATGGCTGACCAACTTAGCAAGAAAGTGGAGTAGGAAAAAAATCACAGATTCAAAGCATTTATTACAACACTGGCACATATTTTAAATTTTTAAAAATGTATTTTGTTGGTGAGTTAGAAAAATAATGAAAGAAGACAACAGAAAGTATCCCAGCCTACCCTAGAAAACAAATTAGTCAGCATAGCATCTGAAGTTCCTGTTTCAGATTCTAAAATACAAAACTACATCAACATTCTTTTCCTGAAAAGAAACGGATTTGTGAAGTATGTTGATTTGCTGTGTGTATGGTGAGTGCCTGTGTTGTGGTGTATTTTCTACCACTTTTACACTAAAGCAGAAAAACTGAAGTAGGTAGGTACCACAGAGATATATACAATAGTATGTCAATATTTTCTTTATAGTTCAGCAGTGTAAGTTTTATGAGATACAGCAACAAAACCACATATAAGAAGTATTTGTCCAATGCCCTTATTCGTTTGACTAAGAATAAAAAATTCATCTGTGAATTTTTACTCTGAAAAAATACATAAGACAAAACACACCTTTAATAAGTCCCTTTTCTTGCAATGTTTTCAAGGAAGGTCTTCGGGAGATGAACTTCTTTAATCTGCTTTTAACTCGGTTTCTGTCATTTGTGTCAGAAGCACTGTAGTTCAGTCTGAAAACTGAAGGAAATAAAAAAAAAAAGCTTCAGGGAAACGATATTTTTATCCTAATAGTAGTTTGCTCAAACAACCGTAGGAAATAATGGCCACAACCACCCTAGTAAAATCATGCGGTAGGTCAACAGTGTAGCTGGTTGGACAGTACAAGACGTCTGATTAATACTTTTGTGAATAAACACGATGAGTTCACTCTGCTGGTTATTCACAGAGTTGTATTATTTACTGCCCATAAGTATTTGGATGGCGACCAGTTTACTCATGAAATGTTCACGAATCCCACAAGTTTCACATGGATGATTTTTCAACTGAAACTCTGGACTCTAAGTGTGCTATGCACTATTGGCTATATACTACTTGTTATGAGAAAGGATGGATGGTTACACCACTAGTGAAGGACTGAATTCTCTTGCCAAGACGGATTAAGCGTTATATATATATTTAAAGCAGTTATAGAAAACATGGCTATGTGCCATGAAATGTGTGCAAGATGCATTAATTTACAGAAAGAAAAGTATTCCCGTCCTAATGATTATATTTCATTATATTTAGGCATTTACCAAACTGAGAAACATTTTCAGCTCAATTTATTCCTGCTCTGTGTCAAAAAGACATAGAACCCAGCTGCAGAAAATCCCCTGGAGGAAGTTTCAAAGGCATAAATTTAACTTTTTCTCTTCTGAGGTGCTTACAGGGCATGATCATAACTATCAAAACAGGCATTATTAGCAGGAGAAACTCTGGATGGATGTTATAGAAGCCACAGTGATGCCATGGAAAGACTTCCTCCAAAGGTTTCTCTGAACACAGATATTTGAAGTTTTTTAAGAAGTCACCTAAGCTTCATCACCATTGAATAACCCTTTTCCTGTGTCCTGGGCTCTCTCACACTGCCCATTCTCCCAAATGCTAAGCAGGAAAATGGGACAGCCAGAGCTGTACAGACTTCCCTGGCAAGGACCCCCAGCTGAGAGAGGAGTGGCTTCTGCTTTCTGAGGAAAGAATAGCTTTCCATCTTCTCTTGAAAATAGACAAACAAAGAAATAAATAAATCCACTAAAACACAGTATTCTGCACAAGCTGAACTTGCAGAAGTTGGTCCATTGTCCCTCCAACAGAATTTTTAAATAGTACCCTGGATAGCTTAGCTGTAGTTAAGAGAGTTGCTCCCTAATCTCCCCCTCCAGCATGAATCTCCCCTGTAATGCAGTGATCTTTACATAGGGAAACCAAAGGGTAAGAGGGAAAATTATCATTAATATAAAAATTATCATTAATATTATTGGGCTATTCTATAGCATGACGTTTTGCATAAGTTATAACCAGCATCAGAATATTTAAAGGTGAACGGTTATAAAACAATGGCAAGCTAAAATAACTGGTTAAGCAACAGTAACAACCCTGGAATACTGTGGCTTACATTACAAATCTGATTTTAACAGCCAAACTTATAAAATGGTTTACGCTTTGCTGTTGTCAAGGGAGAAAAACTTGCCAAATTGTTCATTTTAAGTAAATAGAACATAGCCAATTAAGGAAAGCAATATTTAAACACATGCCTACGATGATCAGAGCATACTTTGCTTCTGATTTCACTACTGATTTTAACAGAAGAGTGCTCCATTTTCCCACAGCACTAAAATGACCCCACACATACTTCCACAAACTAGTAATCACACAGGACAAATAAAAGGACACTTTACTGGAAAATACACAGCCTGGTACAATAATCCATCACTTATGAAAAATAGAATTCACATTTTTTAATGGTAGCATTCTTGGAGTGATGTATCACAGAATATAAAGATTAGCATTCAGTCGATAGTTGGGGGGTTTTTAACATTATAGTGGAGGACTTTTTGTTCGAAACAGCAATCCTTGGCAGGGACAATCCAAAATTCCAAGTCACTTGGCTGTGCTATAAAAAGAACAACAAATGGATGTTTCTAATTCTGCGTCTTAATGCTACTTTGAAACAGTGAATTGTTTTTAGTTTGAGGACTCTCTTGTTGCTCAGGGTCGTTCTATCCATAGTGATTCATGTTTAGGTTTGCTTTTTCCTGACTTCGAGTGAAGCTTCCCCAGTACAAATGATGCAGGAGCGAAAACGTCTCCGAAGTCACTTAAGATCCCTGCCACATTTCCCATTTTGAGGGACTCTGAGGTGTTTTATGCCCACTCAAACTATCTGCTTAGCTCTAAGTATACACCAGATTTGTTAAGATATTTTAACTGAAGTGGACGTCATCACGCTATGAATGGTAGGGTAGGAGATCTATGACTTGACAGCAGGGTAAAGGTTACCCTGTTTGTTTAGAAATATGCATTAACCCAACTGGACATTTTATACCTGAAACAATTACAGTCTTAAAACTACATCTAGAGGTAGGAATAATTACTGTCATGGATACTTTTGTATGTTTTATGTCAAACTGTATAGCGCATAGCTAAAAAGAACATCAAAGTTAACTTTTATGAAATTCTTATTTTATTCTATTAAAAATGTATGAGTCACCAGAGGAAGATTCCAAGCCTCCCAAAAATTCATGGGTTTAGATGTTCCAAAACCAAGCTTAGCCAGAAATATTCCTGTTGAGATCTCATTTAGAAATATCCCTTCTCTTTCCAAACCATTCTTCTTGCGATATCCCCACATTAAAATGACTTTGCTATTATATTTGCAAATAAAATGAGAACCACTTCTTACTTCCAGGAGAGGGAAAAAACCCACAAACAACCCACAAACGTAATCCTAAAACTGTAAATCCACAATAAATATTTTTTGGAGTACTTTCTTTTTGAATTTCAGGTTGGGAATTTGGCCAGAAGAATCCTCCATGAAAGAGATATGACAAATGGTGACATAAAAAAGGTGGAAAACAGTTCCATACAGAACTAAAGTAAGATACTTAAGGATCTGAGTATACAATAATAGCAAATAAAATCTAATTCTCATTCTAGGGTGTGTTCCCTGGCATAAACTGCATAGCTGTGCCACTCAATTCATTGTACTGAATAAACCTGTATCTTTGATTTCCAAAGATACTCACACTGACATATCCACATAAATGCTTCAAAACCAACATGGAGCAGAAGGATAATTCTCCTCTTTTTTGCAAAGACTCTTCAATTAAGTATGTTTTATATTGCACTAAGACCTTCTGAGACAGAAAAAGGAAACACATGCTTGCCCTTGTTGGGCCAGGACCTTTTACAGTACACGTAGAAGGGAACCCAACAGAGGTCAATATTACTCTAAATTTCTTCTGCTATGGCAAGTGGCTGCAAGGACACTTCAGTCCAGCAGTAAAAACTTAACCTGAATATTGGCTGACTTTCACATTTGGCTGGAAATAAAGCTGGACCCTCAGATCTAGAAAAGCATTTCTGATGACTTTGTTTACTTTATTAGTTCTCTATTTGTCCCACAGGTGGGACAGGTATTAATGGACTTGTGAAAGTAATGGCATGATAATTTGCTCAAAAATCAAGCTGTATTAAAACACAACGCCTTATCACATCAGGGGACTGTAATACAGGTTGATTAAAAAATAAAATAGTATAAACACATCATTAGGCATAAAAGAACACATCTTTGGCCCTTAATGTTGGATAACAATGTAATAACATCAAGTGAATTAAGAAGGATAACTATATACTAAATTCTCTGCAAAAATTTGCACCAAGAAAAAACTGACCTGTTTTTTTTTTGGCCTATATAAATCCTCTGAATACCTATTCAACACCAAAACTCTAGGGTTAATATTCCTAATAACATAGAAAAAAACCAGGAGTATCATGCAAAACCACAAAATATTGTTGGTACAAGAGCTCTTACACAAGAAGACAGGTGGAAAGAAAGAATAAATGCATTACCACAAAATCAAAGTTTTGAAGAAATAGTACCATGAGAGTCAATGGAATTTTTGCGAGATACAGATGAAGAATTACTTGCCACAATTTAATGCACTAAATTGCATATATGGTTCAATGAGAGTAAACATAATTTAAACAGGACTGAGCAGTGGCTAACGTATTTGCAAGGTGAAGTTACAAAAGCTTTCTCTGCATTTTGGCAAGGCCACAACTAAAAGAACCAGGCAAGGCTCTAACCTTTCCCAGGGCAAGGATCTGAATTTTTATGTGATTACCTTCTGTGAATTTAGTCATGTACATAGACGATATATTTCTAGCAGAATGTTTTTCCTGGGTGTGATGTTCTGGGCCGAGCCTGAATCATTCAGAAAGTAAAATGTTTTAATATGTTCTAAACAGCTCCATATTTTATTGGCAAGATTTTATGTCTCCATATAACATGATCTCACATTCCTTCCAAAGCCTTTTATTTCACTTTTAATTTACAAAACATTTATACATAATCCCAAGGGTTTACCTATGATTAATTCCTGCCAGGTACAGTATATCTGGACACTTCTAACATGTGGAAATCATTGGTTTTTGAAGAACTATCCATTAATGACTTTCTGAACTGTGACAATGGATATTGACATTGCTTGTCAGACTAAAGAAATATTGATTGTCTCACATCATGTGTATAGCAAAACCAATTTCTTCCAAGTACCTCTCCCTAACTGAAATACATTATTATGGTGCCTATCTCTTTATTATAACACCCAAAATTATCGTATGTAATTCATTTGGATGGAAAGGGCTCATACAGAATGAAGAGCAGCAGTGGGAATAGATAAGACATTAAGACTTTCAAAGAGCTTTATATTAGCACCTTCTCTTCCATTGGCTTTGTACTGCAGGGGAAAAAAAAAACCAACCTCCTAGTCTGTACCATGTGATTTTTTTAAAATACTCTTGAGAACTTCAGAATTTCAGGAAGTGTTCAGAAATCGAGATGACTTGTAGCATAACGATAACACCCAGAAACTGAGATTTAATAATTCTTTTACAAGGAATACTAAAAGTGACCAGCTTGACCATTCAAAATACAGAATATATGGATCAAAATCCTAGCTGCAACTTTCTTAAGA